TCTTAATCATAAGACAAACTTCCTCAAACTCGGAGATAAAGATATAAGCATCTTCAGCTTTATTTCCTAAGAATTTTGGAAGCATGTTTATGTAATGCGGTCTAAGCTCGAAATTAGTTCCATTAACTTCGGGTAGCTTAATGCAAGATGGGATTGCATTCCTAGTTGGGTAACACATATCTTGAAGAACTGATGGATTAGGATTATCTAGTTCTTTAAAAATTGGTTCAAAACGGATTAAACGATTGATATTATCCCTAATCCAACATTGCATACACCAAGGCAAATTCTTTTCATTTTTTTAAATTATTTAATTAAAAAATTCTAAGAAAAATGAAAGTTCATTTTTTAAGAATACTAAAAAAACTTCTAAAAGATAATGAGGAGGAAAAATATGAAAGAAAAATATAACTAAAACAAATAAAAACAATCATTTGTGTCAATCACTCTAAATTATAGGGTTAAACCTAAACTCAGCTAGACCAGCTCCAAACCAAAAACTCCCTTAGTGAAAAGATTAATGTTTACTCGGTCAGTTAGCCAGGTAAGGATAGTACTAGAGGGAGATCAAAGATCAATTAAGTACATCGTTCCATGCGGAGCGCTTTACACAACCCTTAAACCTTGTCTTAGACACCAACTAATTCAAGTAAATTTAAACCGGTTCACTTAGGGATTTCTTATTCCTGAATGAGCTCAAATCCTTAGGCCAACATCAAATGAGTTTTTAAAGGATTAGGTTTGTGTAGTGAGGAACTAGTGATTTGTAGGCTAAGAAAACAATGATGAAATCCCTCATCTTAACTTGATTAAGGGGTTTTTGCACTTCAGAATATTTTCAAGTGTGTGTCAAATCAAGATGTTTAAATCACTTGGGTGAATTCCTACTACTATATGCAATGCAACCCTAGGAATTAAAAGCAACTATAAATGATGCAAATTTTTTTAATTAGGGTTAACAATCAAACAAATATGAGGAAGGGAGATATTGTTTAAATTTATTAACTTATTAGTAACTATCCAAGTGGAGGGTGAATTTTATTATGGTTGACAAAAATAAAATCTTTTTTTTAGATCATAATTGTCTCTAATTGTAAGAAACTAACTAATGGTGGAATTAAAAATGCTAGAAAGAAGAGTTACCACAAGCAAATCTTCAAATCATTAATTTCCATTCCTTGATCTTCAATCTCCAAGTGGTTCTTTCACAAGAAAATATACAAATTAAAGAATAAAATCCTATTTATAAGCACCTTCCCCGGCAACGGTGCCAAAAACTTGACATGACATAAATATATACCTCTAGAGTTACAAGTTCACAACCATCAAGTTATAATATTAAAATTTATTGATCCCATGAGGAAGGTGTTTGTAGGAGAAAATCAAAAAAATTATCTAATATTCTCATTCAATTTTATAGCTTATTATCTGTATCATAGAAGTAAAACTAAAAGTATGAAAAATTATTTTCTTGCGAAATTAGAACATGGAGATTATGATATATTTCGCCATGTGATCTAAACATAAAAATTCCTTTTTTCTTTGATGCAAGGTCCCTATCAAATCTTACCCCAAATGATGTGAATGAAAAATGTTATTATAACTCACTTACCTAGGGCAATTGTATTGTATATAGAATATATAACTTATCTGGAATATCCATATCTCCTAAGTGGATTTTGCTATTGTGAGAGCAACATGTTAGAGGCACGTATTCAAACTTTTTTGCTCTATAAAAGACACAAAAATTTGGAGTACATAGCTTATATATCGTAAAGAACATATCGATTCATGAAGAATTTTTCCTAATAATGATATTATTACAATAAGATTACTATTCAATATTAAATCAATTTTATTATATAAGATTATAGGACCATTTTTAATATATTATAAAGTATATATATGAAAACATCGATACTTATAGCCAGTAGTTGGGCTCCACAAAATAGGTAGTTTGCTATTTATAGTACTATTGGCAATATCATTACCTTTCATTTTTATCTTATTATTCACACTTTTCTGATGTAAGTTCTCTTTTGCTAATCATTTAATTGGCTCTATTTAGTTTTTATAATATCAGAGGTTAGAATATTATCTTCTATTTAAAAAGTGTTGATATGGTTTTCTTTAAAAAAATATACACATAGTAGTAATAGTATATACTACAGTGCAACTCAAACATTGGCTTGAAGCTATTTAGAGTGAGGTCCTTTCTATGCTAGGATGATTACACTGTCTAAAAGTCAAAGAAGAAATTTTTACAAAGGAAAAGTAATTTAATATGTCAAATTAAGAACTAATTTATAAAATATACATGAGCAGTGCAGATAGCTATAAAAAGTAATATATATCTTCATAAAAAATTCATATTGAGTGACTAACTACAATCATCCTGATTTAAGTATAAATAATTATTATTTTAGTTACTAATTTGATACGCATAACTATGGAATAAATCTCCAGCAAAAAATAGGAATTGAGATTGTATTATGCTGTAGGTAAATAAATAAATGTTATTAGAGCTCCTCTTTATATTAAATTTAAAAGTAATAATTTAAATTATGAAACACAAAATATTAGCTCATGTGAGAAAGTAAAGTAATCTATGGTCTATATATGTATATAGTCAATCAATCAAACGTATTAAAATTATAATGACCGTAGTCAAAATTATATGGTGGGTTCACATAAAATATAATTTGTAAAAAATATTACATTAAAGTCATAAGCTTTTTAACTACTATATAGATTGTCTAAAAATATTTGCATATATAAACTATAGTACCTGGGAATAGTGATGTGTATACTTAACTATAGTCTAATAATCTTAAGAATGACTTATTTTTTAATATTATCATTAATTGATGTATATTTGCATTACACTGAAAACACAATAAAAATTTAAAAAACTATAAAATAAACACCCTCAAAAGTTTTAAAAAGTATAAAAAATACCCTAAAATTTGTAACTTACAAATACACAAAACTATTAAACATTACATTGAAATCAAAGAATTATAAAAAAAAATCATTGAAAATTTTCAAACTTTGGAGGGGTAATTTACAATGTACTATACTTTAAGGGTGTCTTTTGTAAATTTTAAATTTAATAGATTTTTAATTAGTTATGTTCTTTTTAAAAAAGTTATGGATAATGCTTTCCATGAAAAGTTTTTTTCTAAACCTATACTTTTAAAAGGTGTATGATATTTTTTGCAAAATTTTAATTTTCTAGGGGTTGTTAGTAATTTTTCTTATTCATTTTAGTATCTATAGGTTAGAAATTCTCATGGTGGTTTTTTTTGTAAATTATGAATTTTAAGGACTTTTTGCAATTTTTTAAACTTATAGGCATTTTTTACATGTTATAAATTGTTTATAGACTATTTATAATTCCTATGCTTTCAATTTACTAATGAATTTGAAATGTTTAGGGTGTTTTTTTTATAAATTTTGAATTTTAAATATTTGTTTATAATTTTTAAAACTTTAAGGGTGTTTTCTATAAATTATAAATTATGTAGGAGATATTTATAATTTCTATATTTTTAATGTACTGTTAGGTCAAAAATTATCGGGATTTTTATAAATTTTATAATTTTGAGGGTTTTATTTTGCAATTTGTAAAAAAATCAGAGTGTGTATTGCAAATTTCATAAATTTTTGGGGGTTGTTTGTGTTATTTTAGGTTTTCAATATGTTTATAGGTTTGAAATTTTCAAGGTGTTTTTTATAAATTTTGAATTTTTAGGGGTGTTTTTATAATTTTTAAAATTTACAAGATATTTTCTCCAAAGATAAAAAACTTTTAGTTTCTAGTTAGCATATATTTTTTAGATTTCTCACTAAATTGAGATAAGTAAAGTTTATAATTTTTAAGATGATTTAATAAAATTTTAAATTTGTAGGGGCGTTTTTGCAATTTAAAAAATTTGAAGAATATTTTTATACAAAGTCCAAAAACTTTTAGGTGCTGGCTAGCATATATTTTTTAGACTTCTCTATGAACTGAAATAAGTAAATGATTTGAATTATATGAAACATATCTATTTTATTCAATAACATGTTAAGTCTCATTATGAATAGAATAAATTATTTTGTTACCAATTCAAAGAAGATAGAATAATTAGATTAGATTAGGATAACTTCTCTCTCTTCTCATCTCTGCTCCCCTCCCCCTAGATCTGCCACCTACACTCCTTTCCCCTCCATCCAACCATCTCTGATCACTTCTATTCACCGACGCCGACCTCCTTAATTTAGGGTCGAAATCAGCCGGATCTCAAATTAAGTACTTGAACTAATTTTTGGTAAAATCTTTAAACTTTTTTTATTTTTGCTCGTAATTTTTTTACATATTCTTACTATTTCATCATAATAGCTTGTTATAGTTCAGATTTTGGATTAATTTTTGAATTATTTTCGAATGTTGTGAAGAAAAATTTATGAAAATTTGTATATGAAGTTGGAAGGGAAAATTGTAAAAATTAGTTAATTGAATTGTTAAAAGTGAATATTGTTTAAATTATTTAAATTAGGGAATTGTAAAAATTATGGAAATGAAAATTTTAGGGTTTGACCTATGGTAAAAATAATGGAATTGTAAAAATTGAATATGTAATTTTAAATTAGGGAATTTAATTGTAACTATTATTTTTAGTGTTTTTGTGTAATACCAGTTGATATTAAAAAAAACTCTCCTCAGAGGTAATAATGAACGATCAAATCTTAATCCTTTATTCGTATGATGAGAAGATTAATTATCTCGAGCATAGTATGCCTGTATATGAAGGAGGTGTGACGAAAACGTTGTTTATATCTAAATCATATAAGGACGGTGAGGTGGCTCTACCATATCACTACCACGTCAAAAAAATAAAAGCAAAAGTTAAAATTTGTGCTGCCACGTTGTTGCCGCGTCAGCAAAAAATTAAAAATTGTAAGCCTGTCCTGCCAGCGATTGATGTATCATCAAAATTCAGGAGAAGCGTGGAAAAAAAAAACGTTGATGGGCTTTTAAACGTTGGTTATTTTTTAAATTGAGGAAAGCTTAAATTCCTCAGACAGGGGACCGTTGCCTTTGTTTCTTCCCCTTAATTCCTCAGCAATTGCCCATCACTATCAAAGAAATTATTTCATATGGAAATTTTATGTGAATTCCAAGAGAAAAAGGAACGGAAAAAAAATGACAGGTGGCATTAAATGGAGGTTGCATGTTGGTTGTTTGATCAAATGCGCAAGAGAAATCTAGGGGAGTTCGTTGACTTCATGATGGCTCAAAATTTAATTGTTTGAGGTTGCATATTGCCTGTTTTTTCCCCCTTCCGATATATCGGTAATTCATCTGAACTTTAATTGATTAAGGTTGCATATTACCCGTTTGATTTAATACCTCAGAGATGTTTATGAATGAATGGGCTTTTGTGGTCCGTCATCTGAATTTTAATTGATTATTGATGTATGCTGCCTGTTTGATTCAATGCCTAAGCGAAACTTGGCAAACTTAGTTTATTTTGAATTGGCCCCAGTTGTTTGTTCATCTGAAATTTAATCGGTTTAGTTACTTGTTGCCCGTGTCTCAGAAATTTTGTAAATTTGGCTGATTTTGAGTTGGCTCTAGTGGTTGTTCGTCTGAAAGTTAATCAGTTATAGTTGCATGTCGCTGTTTGGTCCAAATGCCGAAACTTAGGAGAATTAGTTGATTTTAAGATGACCCTAGTGGTTGTTCATCTGATTTTTAATTGATCACATTTGCACGTTTCCTGTTTGATCAAATGCCTCATAGAAATTTGGAAAGTTTAGTTGACTTTAAAATGCCCTTAGTGGTCATTCATCTGAAACTCAATGATTAAGGTAGCATGTTGCCTGTTTCATCAGTGCCTTAAAGAGATTTATAAGTTTTAATCAATTTAGGATTCGCCCAAACAGTTGTTTATTTGGAATTTGGATTAAGATTTTGAATTTGTTATGATTCTTGACAGGGATTGGTTAAGCCAGATGTGGGATCCGGAAGCCCATTCTGCACTGCAAAGAACATCTTGCAACTTGAAGATCTTGTTGCAATGTCCACACACATGGTAAGTGAATTGTTCAACTCACATGTTCTTTTTTTTTCATTGTGTACATTGCTTTTCATTTTCTTATAATGAATGCTAGTTGTTTAAAGCTTAACAAGTCCTAAACTTTGCTGAGTTCATTATTTGTGTATCATTTAATGAAAATTCTCGGAAGGGCATCTGCAGTTTTCACTTTCTATTCTTGTATTTTCTGAAATAGTTTATCCACACAAAATATGTTGAGTGGCAACAGGATTCAGAGCTGAAACTTCCTTTTGGGTGTCCAATTAAACAAAAGTGCAATAGAGAATATGGAAAGACAAAGGAGAATGAAGAAAGTAAAAATAAAGAGAAAATGAGAAGGGAAGCAAACAGAGAGTGGGGAAAAAAATCAAAGAGTAATGAAAAGAATAATAACTTGTAATTAACATTATTTTGAATCACCTAATAATCAAGGTAGTAATTTTTATCTTGATGCAATGTTGTCATGGACTTAGGATCACAATCTAGATAACAAGGCAACATCAGACTGCAACTGGGATAAGTCAGGATTAGAATGGACATTACAATATTCAGTTGGGTCTTAAGATTAAATTGTTGAACTCCAATGCTTATAGATGTTTCAATCCAATCAAGTCAGGCAACAGGGGTCTTCGCCATGCAAAATAAACTGGAAAAGCATAACTCTTGGTAAAAATAAATAAATAATTCAACTCATTTTCTATCGAATGACTTATTACTTAACCACTATATTTCTTTAAATTGATGTGATGTATTTCTATAGGCTTTATAAACTTGAGCCGAAAGAGGCTGCTGGAATTAGGAAATGGAAACAAACAATGTAGTAGGATACAACCTTTGCGTGCCTCCTTAGCATAGAAATCTATCTATGTTAAGAAATTTGCATAAAAGTCTGCAAAAATTCATATAAATGGCATACTTAAAAATTTGCATCACCCACCACCCTGCAATCCCCACCACCAAGCACACAGGCACAACATAACCTCCCTCTCTCCTCCTCTCATGTTGGCTTGTAGGCCACATGATAAAGCCTCTAACAAAGCATGACTCACTTGGAAAACTGGCATTACAAGTGGCAAGAGATAAATATACTTGTAAGCCACCAGGAGTGAGTTTTCTCAAAATAAGTTGCCAGAAATGAAGTTTAATCGCATGCCTATTGAAGCCCAGTCTATCATAACCCGTGGTAATTAATGAAGTTTCCTAAAAGATTAACCTTATGGGTTTGTGGGCTGACAAATTACCAATATATATGAAGCAAGCTTGACATTAACAATCAACTATAGAAGAACTGGATTCACACATTTCTAGTAGCAATTTATTACTGATATGAAAATTTCACTAGCTTTCAAAAAACATATTCCTGTAACATTAAAATCTTTCTGATGCCTGCATGTATTCTCATGCAGATACACAATCCTAGAATGCATCAATGATCGATAGATGGCTAATTTCTCGATGAACTGCAGTTCCAATCATGTGCTTTTATGAAGAATCCTTCTGTTGTGGCTGACTATTTTGGACCTTACTGACAGAATATGTAACGCAATACATCTACCGAACACTTGGATACTCCAGTACTTGATAGGTATGTCTGATACTCCTTTTGATGTAGCCTAAAATTTACAACATAACTTAACATATTTCAGACATATTAAGTTATTAACTTGACAGATATAGTATACTCATTTTGATGTATGTCGTAGACTTATTGAAGACTTGTGTCATGGGTGGAGCTTAGAAGGGGCGGGGGGAGGCCATGGCCCCTCAAGCCCACACGTAAAATGCATAATTCCATATGTAATTGGTGTTAAATTGGCTCCCCCATGAGCAAAGCTATGAGTAAACAAAGCCCACAAGCCCAGGTCTTAAGGCAAAAAAAATTAAAAATAAAAATAAAAACACTTTGGACAATTCTCTTAAGTTTGGTTTCAAAATTCAATTCTTCAAACCATGTAAATACCAGTCCGAATCTATTAAGAGGTTTTCCCAACATATCATTCGCAGACACCCCCCGCCCCCCCATTCGATTGTTTCGCCTTCATTGTTTTAGACTTTTTTCCAATAAATCTAAATTTCAAAGTCTACTCATATCAACCAATCTCTCTCACTATTTTCCCTAAACTCAAGAGTTCCATTGAGTTTTGCGGTTTTATTCATAGTTCTAGAGACAATGTGTATTCACTAAACCTCAAGGTACAATTTTTCTACTTTTCATTCTTCTCTTATTTTTATTATTATGAGTTATGACCAACAAATATTATTTTTAAAATTATTTTGCATGATTTTTTCTTATTTATTTATTTATTTAATTATATATTGATTGGTTTTGTAAACCCTAGATGTGATTAGTTTATTATTTATTTATTCAATTGTATGGATTTGTTCTATTTTTTATTATATTGTCAGTTGATATGTTTGACAGACAAAAGAAACTAATATTTGCTTTTCTTAACGTATTACGTGGAGAAAGTAG